AATCGGTTTATATATCAAATGTATCGTATTTTAAGCTGTACAAAAATAAATTTGGTGTCACCGGTACTCTGGGATCCGAACAAGAATTGAGTCTTTTGAGAAATCTTCACGAAGTTATCACTGTTACAATTCCGACATCAAAGCCGAAGCGATTTACACTGCATGAACCAATTCTCTGCAAAACTATTGATCTTTGGATAGAAGAAATAAAGAATGAAGCAGTAAATATTGTCAAAGAGAAATTCCGATCAATTCTGATAATTTGCGAAACAATGCGCGAAGTAAATTTACTTCAGGGAGAGTTGGGCGATATGATTAAAGTGGTGACATACACACGCGACTATGAAGAGTTTGCCGAAAAGGAGAATTTGTCGTGCGGTACTGCTATCATTGCCACTAATTTGGCTGGTCGTGGCACCGACATCAAGTTATCTCGCGAATTGTGCGAACGGGGCGGCCTGCACGTCTGCATGACGTACCTACCAGAAAACTGTCGAGTGGAGGAGCAAGGATTCGGCAGGTCGGCCAGGAGGGGAGAAATGGGATCAGGCCGACTGATTGTGATCAGTGACGAAACTGACATTGCAAATTTACGAGAAAAAAGAGATAAAGCCGAGCTCAGGAGAGTATCTGAAATTAAATCTTACTATGATGGACAAATTAGAACAGAGGAAGATTACTTTAAACAGTTTACTGAAGTTTACAAATCATTAAAAGACAAGGTTAAGCATTTAAAATTCAGTACGATTTTGTTAGATAGCTGTTTAGACAAGTGGGCTATGTGGCTCGATAGTATTTCAATACACGTAAATAATATTGAAGATGAACAGAGTAAAATATGTGCAAAGAATTCGTTAAACAGGTTTTTATCAGAAATAAATAATTATCTTAATTCCGATTTTAGTAAATGGGTAGCCCACAATCCTATGAGAATGGCTGCACTTGGAAGAAGTTGTATTTTAGACAAAAACTATGATACAGCTCTTTACTTGTTCAATGAAATAATTTCTAAAGAGCCTAAATTTTGTGAAACTGCCTATTACTATAAAGCGCTCATTTGCAGAAATCATAAAAAAGATATTGCTGGTATGGAAAAGTCATTGATTGAGGCTAGTAAATTATTCAATCATCACATAAACCAATTAATTATTTACTCTAATATCGTTGACAGAATCAAAGACACAACAAATATCGGCTTGGTGCAAATACAATCTTATAATGAGCAAAAACAATGTTTATGCGAAATATATTCTGCATATTTGCAATCTATTGACAATATTTTGGGCAGTTCAGACGTCAAGCAACATTTTTCAGAAATTGATTACACTGTGTTCAGAATTCTTCATAAAGATCTAATCGAACAAAATATTCTGGGAAGGCATAAAATCAATGATGTCATTGATAGCACGGTTTTGATTGATGTTGCGACCGAATTTAAAATTCCAGTCCAAACACTAATCAATATTTTAAATGACTGCAATGGGGAAACAGACGAAAGGTCAATTAAAAATGAATTTAAAAGTAAATTAGATTTTTGTAGTAAAGAGAATTTTTGGAAACAATTATGTTCTAAAAATATTATTCAAGATGAAGTTATATATGTTAGTATGAAAAAGAGTGAATTTAAAAGCAATTTTGGAGATGTATATGATTTGGTGAAACAAGATGTGAAAGGCGAATTACTTGGTCTATTGCCAAGAAGAGGTGTAATATTTTTTGATATCCATAAGATAAGGGCGAATATATATGATGATGATTGTTTAATTTTAGAAGAAGATGATTTGATAACAATTATTCATGAAAGTAATTATAATTTATTGAAAGAAAATAATCTGGTGTCTTGTAATTATATGGGTATTATCTATATTGAAAAATCCGATTCGGTGTTTTTAAATTTATTTGATTCTGTAACAAAACAAGATTTTCTAAACAATAATATACCTGATTTAGATGCAAGCTTAATTTTGCACCATTTGAACGAAATAGGAATTCTTGCAAAAGACAAAGAAAATAAAAATATATATAGACTGAAAAATAGGCTTACGGAAATAGAAAGTATCACTTTACCTTGCTGGAAGTTGTATGAAGAAACCATAATGCAAACATTATCAATACGTTTTTCATATCGTAATGTTCTTCGTGAAATTCAGAAACAAGTCGAAGAAGGGGATGAAATTTTGTTACCAGAGTTTATATCACAGCCACATCAACTTCTTTATTGCGCCCTTGTTGAAAATGGTATTATAAAACAAGGAAGAGTTAGTTTTACTTCTGAGGAACGACTTAAAAAATATATATTTAATCTGGAAATGGGCATCATAGAAAAAAGATTTTTGGAAGAAACTCTTGAGAATTATGTTGGCAATAACGATCCAAACATATGTGATGAAATCTGGGAAGAATTATTACAACAACAATGGATTGAACTCAGTACTAAGAAGAGCAAAACATATATTATTAAATATTCTAATATGGGTAAAAATAAATTAATAAAGTATTTAGAGTATGAACCATTTTTGAAGTTTGAATTAACAATAAAAAATGTTTTGAAACTTCATAGCGACGCGGTTCATGATAATCTAAAAAAGTTGAATGCGCCTGATATAAAGAAAAACGATTTGAAATTAGGGATTTCATCAGGTCTTACTGATTATTTGTATGGATGCGAAGAAATGCAAATTCTAAGATTGAGTGGCCTCGATGAATTTATTTCACTAAAGCAACAATCTTACATTGAAAAGTTTTTAAGAGTTTCATTTGGGCTGTGTAAAATAATAGCTGGTATTATGCAAGATACAGTAAATACCATTAACGAATATGGCACGAGAGAAATAAGTTCAGGTCTATTTTGTAGTGGATATGAGGATATGAAACTAGGTCTTTTCAATGAAGTAATATTATGGCGAGATTATATAAAGCACAAAATGACGCATTTTATTCATATAAATAAAAATTATTTTGAACGATTTCTTCATAGAAAAGGGAATACAACAATTGATAATGGGAAAATTCGTCGAGTTGTATCGCATGTTTCGAAATCGTTACAAGTTGAATCCTATACACGAAAATTCTTGAAAAATATATGCTGCAATGTATCAAAAATTATCATGGAAAATTTTGAAGAAGTCGCTTACTTAATGAATAATGGACACGAGAACGTGGACTCAAACACAACATCACAAGAAGAATTTCAATTTTTAATTACAAATTATTTGTCCAATAAAGTAGAAAGATCTAAATTTGTAATGATACTAAATGATGTCAAGAGTGATATTATTTTAAAAATTAAAGAAACTTTTAAAAGTGTCCTAATACATGAATCATATCAAACTAAATTACAAAATGAAGTTGATAGAGTAAAAATTGATCATAAACACCTTCATGAATTAATAACAGTTTATGAAAATCTAATGAATGATGCAAAAGTATCCGACCTAGTCATAAGTACATTACATTTGAAACAAACTATAAGAGAAATATTTGGATCATTTTTAGAAGAATATCTAACGGGACCGATTGTAAGTGAAAGTAGCGAAATCATAAACAAAATTCTTATCAAGAGAGATTTAGAAGCATTCGATTCCATAATTTATAGAAATCTTTCAGAAGATGATGTAAAGTTAAGAAATCAACTATATGAAAGACGAAAGAAATCAGAAACATCAGCTCAAATGAAAAAAATAAAATACGAACACATTTTAACATATGCGTACAATCGAGAAATATCAAAGTTATTAGAACGTGTTAGAAAAATTTCATTGTTTGCAGAACTTATAAAGGAAAATGCTTCTTTCAACGAGATCTATTTGAAAATTTTTGTCCAAGCAGTTCCCAAAATTCTCAATTTGAATAATCTAACAATTTATGTTGAGAATAACGAAAATAATAAATATATCATGGATAAAACTTTACAATCAAAAACTGTTGTTCGAATTAGTCTGGTGAATGGTAAACTTCAATTATACGATAATGGATTTGTAGAAAATTTCAAGCAATTCATAAATTGTCCTAATAATTTATATGATGCTCTTAGCAAAAACCAACACGATATGATGTCTCAAGAGAGATTTGCTGAATTAGTTGCAGAGTACATTGAAAATAATACCTCAATGATTTCGATTATTCAAAATATATGGACAAAAATTGATTCTGAAAATAAGATTAGAAATGATAAACAAACAAAAGATTTGGCACGCGATGAGTTTAACTATGATATAGATGACATTAAGCTTAACTTGAAAGCCATTGTAGCTAAAAAGCTTTCTTGTGATGACTCTGGAGAATCTATTGAACTTGATGAATCTGATGAATCTTTGAGTTAATTTATACAAAAATGGAGATTTGCATTACAATTTAATTTTGTCATTAAATAAATTTCTTCGTAGATTATTCAGAAAGTGATTCCTAGAGATGGTTTAATTATTTACTCCGAAACACAGTAATTTAATAATTTCTAAATTGATTCTGATTATTACTTAATAAGAGAGGACAAAAAGCTGTATAGATTAGAAAGAAGTTTATCCAAGTATATGGAGATGCAAGAAGCAACACCATTCTCGAAATAGTTAGTTAATAAAATCATTTTAGAACTAATTTGGTTAGCCAAATTATTTTATCTGGATCATGATGCAACTATTGTATATTTAATTTGATTGTTATAAAATAAATTTTATCAAGATTTTATTTATCATTGTGTTTTACTTTTTTTTCAGATTATTCAGAAGCAAACAATACCATTGTAAATTTACCCTACGGGATATTTCATAAGACAATATAAAAGTTGCCTCAAAACCTCAGTGTAGTATTTGAAATGCTACATTGTGATACCAAATATAACTGTCAATTTTTTTAAATATTCTGAAAATTTAACATGTTTGAACGATTTTTCTTGGGGCCGAATTCAGCTCTGAATCAAACTTAGTTTAAGATTTAACCAAGTATAACTCGGTCTGATTATATAACAATAATCAGACAGAATAAAATACAATAAAGTGTCTCACTCACGTGTTATATGCTTGTTTCTGGTTGCTGAGAGAGTTCTGCAAATGTTTGATTTCTTCTTGAAATCGGGCAGCAGCTTTGCAATGTTCATCTCGATCATTTTTCAAAATATCTTGATAACGGATTAAGGAATCTTCTTTCTGGCTCACAATGTTTTGGAGACTGGTAACAGTAGCCTATAAAAACGAATCGATAACTAAATTATTTTTTCACTTTTCATACATGTATACAACATACAACATAAAAATAACAAAAAAATTATTAAAAATTTTGATGATTACTCTGATTTTAAAAATCCTAGAAAAAGCTGTTTGAGAATGATAAAAACTTATAATCATGGATTTTTTTCAAACATATAAAATTTTAGAAAATTTCAATATTCATGCAACATATATAAAATAGGATACATAATTTCATGTATTATATGAATTACGTAATAATTATGTAATTATTACGTAATATACGTTTCATACTTTTACAACGAGTATACTCGCCAATATACAAAATTTTGCTACTTCTTCATGACGAGTATGTTTGTCAAAGTTAGAACTTACTCTCAAAGTAGCTATTTCTGAAGTATCAGCTTGACTTGATAAACTTTTCAGTTGCAATTCATTAATTGCTATTTTATTTGATAGTAACAGCTCGTCCTTTTGTGATAATTGCTCTGTCAGAAGTTTTATCTTCTCCTGTTAAATAAATTAAATAATTACTACAAAGATGTTAATTTTTTTCATTAAATAGTAACTGGCTGAAAAAATTAATTGCACCTTTGCAATTTTTATTAAATAGTAAAATACCAAAAATTGAGGATATAGGACGTAGGATGAGGAGTGTTAATACTAATGAGAAATCTATATAAAAAAAACTATCAACTAAGTCGGTCCAGTAAAAGTCGAGAAATCGTAGGTATCGTCGTATTGAAAACAGTTTAAAAAAAATACGTTAATGTTTTAAAGGAAACAGAGGAGGAATATCGTGGGCAAAGAGTTATTGTATTTATTACCTGTAATTCCGTAACCCTCAGCTCGCACTGCATCAGCGAAACTGATCTATCTGATGCCAATCCAATAGCCTGAGCCAACTGCAACTGCAATTTGTGGACACTATCCCTTCTTATTTGACTAATTTGGTGATCATCACCTTCTTCAATCATCTTTTCTACCCTTGCAGACTCCTGAGGCGATATTTTTATCTGAGCCTCCGATTTTGCTGATGCCGATCTGGCTGAACCAGTTCTGATTGATTTCACACTTCTAGGAGAATCTTCTCTGACTGGTATTAATTCTGATTCTTTATCGACAGATGCATTATTTTTTAGAAATTGGTCTTTATCAAGAGTGAGACCATTTTCATGAGATTGACCATTCTCAGAATATTGTGTATTATCAGGACCATTGTTACGGGGTTGTCCATTTTCAGAACGTACAGTCTGGGCTGATGATGTAGATGAACTGGTTGGTGTACGTGAACGATTTTTCTGGATGGCTGAAATTATATAAACTCTATGTAAACTAGACTTAAGTGTCATTTTGCCTTAAGGCAAGTTGCATGAACTTCCCGATGCAACCAGCTAAATCAATAGGAATCTAAAGTCAGCAATTAGGATAAAATATTCAACTATTTATTCAAAAATTTTCAGGGCTATGACGTGGAAAAAAATTGTGCTATGCTTTTTTTTAATTTGGTCTCTTTTTACTTGATACTTGATATAAAAACACTAAATTATCTAATCGGATTTTCTGGCAAAAACATAAATTTTTCCTTTAGTGAATTAATTAATAATAGGTAAATTTTTATAAATAACTCACCTTTATGTTCAGTTTCTCGCATTTCAGTTTGGCAATCAGTATCTGCATAATCAGCATCAACAAATAATATTCTTATCTGCTCGCAAATATTTTTGCTGATCAATAATTCTTCTTCCAATTGCAAAGTTGTAGTTTCTAGTCTTGATTGCCGTTCAATGTTTGTCCTCAATTGCTCTACCAATAATTCGGACTTTCTTCGATACTTTAATTCCTGCGAAAAAAATACAAATTTAAATTTAAATATAATTATTTCCCAGTTTATATTATTTATACAGTAAGTTTTTATCCTATGAAACTATCAATTATTTATTTACCTTTAGTTTCAGTTCATCGCTATCACGATGGCCATTAGTTTTGCCCAACAATTCAATTTTCTTCTGATATTCCTTTTCCAACAAATCAAATTCCTGGACTTTTTCTTGCAATATCGATTCTTCGCGTTTCAAAATGATTTTCATTTTATGAACTTCACGAATTTCATTTATATATCTTGAGTAAGAGTTTAGTGGAACGCTGCCACAAAATTGGCGGATGACACTGCGTAAGGCTTCCTTTAAAAGACTGAAAAATGAAATAAATAAATTAGAAATTAAATATTATCTAAAATTGGATAAAATATGCGAGAAATTATATGAACAATTCAAAGTTTTAAGATGCCCATCACAAGATGTAATATCATACTTTTTTTTCTCAAAATGGAAAAAGCCAGAATAAATTTAGGAAATGTGTATGATCAATATTAATTGCAAAACTTTGGTCTAACAATATTTATTTTGCAGGAATGAAACCATTAGAAACTTGTAAAATGAATGACAGATCACATTTTTGAAAATTTATTTATGATAACTCCATACAATCAATTCTTTCCTTCTAATACTTAAGGGAATCCAACTCATAAAAAGAAATTGAAAGAGATAGGGTGTAGGATGCAATACACAAATATTTTGATATATAATTAATTATTTTTTACCTTGTTCTTATTTGGCAATTATCTTCGACTCTCTTGCTGTTGGCAATCTCTTTATCCAAAGCGTTTTGTAGTTCTCGATTTTTATAAATCGTATCATCCAGTTCCATTCGAAGTTTAGTTATCGTTGTTTGCAATTCAGATTCAGATATTCTCATCAGCATAAGATCTCTAGAAGTTCTAGCAATTATGTGGTTACTTTCGGTGTGGGATTGCAAGTCCAGAATTTGATGGCGCAGAGATAGAAGTTCTTCATCGTTGCGAGATGCTGAATGTTGTTTGTACTTTGTCTGAAGAAAAAAAGAAATATATGTTGGATATTTCAGTCAGTAAGTAAATTCCAATGGAGAATTTAGTTGTAAATTTTAGCAAAATTTAAACACGGAATTCAGGGAGAATTTGGTCTAATGCAGAAACTAAATATCAAATTAATTTTAGGTTTATTTATACGATCTTGGTCTAATGCAAAAACTAAATATCAAATTAACTTTAGGTTTATTTATACGATCAATATTTACCTCATCTTGAAGAGCATTATACAATTCCTGAAGATGTGATTTTTCAATTTTCACTTTTTCCAACTCGTCATTTGCAGTATTGAATTTGGCTTCCAAGTGTTTATAGTCATTCAAGGCATGAGAAGTATCCATTAACTGTTGTCTAGAATAATTAAAAAAATTGCTAAATAACAATCTGAAATGTGAGTGTACGTATAATTGTGCAAATAAAAATCATATTCACACCTCCAACATGTGACAGTGATTTTCTGGATATAAAAAATGTATATCAATAACGAAAATTTATTTAAAATAAAAGTGCACAGAGAAAATAATGTGCATTATAAAATAATTGACTTGTAATTTCTTATATTATGTGTCAAAAGTTTTCAAGTAAAAAAATTAAGTAAAAAATAATATCTAATTTCATATGTTTAATAAATTATGACAGGGATTTTCCAAGAACGAGTTTTTGTAGTAGTACATACCAATTTTTCAAATCTTTTGTAAAATAAACTATAAGCACTACATTGAAAACATTTTAAACCTGGGCGTTTTTCTTGAAATTTTCAAACTATTATTAAATTAAAAATTCAAATCTGTCTAATTTTATAGAATATTTTTCAAATAAACAAGTTTGAGATTCGGTAAGAAGAATCGGTAAGAATTAACATATTTCCCTTGTTTTATTAATTTTGTATATTATATACAACATAGAAAATTAATTGATTACCTTAAATTTCTTTCACCAGCTTGTAATTCTATGTGTGACTTTTTAAGTTCATTATATTTCTCATTTAATTCATGATTTTTTCTCTCTTCATTTTCCAACTGATATTTTATTGTTTCCATCAAGTTTTCTGCATGATCTGCTCGTTTCACCTGGATTTCCAATTTGAGATGCATTTCTGATATTTCGTCTGACATATCTGAAAATAATAATAAAAACTTAGTTTTAGATACAAATTTAAGAGAGAAAAATGCTCATTTTTTTTTTCAATTGCAAACTAATAAACTGCTGCTGAATTAATTCAATAAACAAATTTTTTTTTCTAATTGTACCAAGTAAGATCAATATTTACCTTCACTTCTAGAACTACTTTTAGTCAACACGTCCAAAGACTCTTTAACATCTCTAAAACCATCCAGCTCAGTTTTCAAAAACATAATTTCTTTGTTCTTAAAATTCCTAACTTCCTCTTCTTGTTCCAAACTCAATCTATACTTTTCGGATACACTAAGAAGTTCCTCTTCAGTTTTTTTGAGAATATCTGGAGCAACATGTTCTTTGAGAGCTTGTTCTAATTTTTTGATTTTTTGTGCATTTAGCTCTATTGTGTTATTCAATTCACATATAGTTTTCCGAAGTTTGATTTCTATTGCAGACTTTTCCTCATTGATTTTGTTTAATTGATCTCTTAAAACATTTTCATTTTGCTAAAAAATTAAAACATTAAAGTAAACAATTTAGATTTTTGTGTTAAATCCAATTACCTCTAAATAATCTATCTTTCTTGATAACACTACAATTTCTGAAGTAAATTTAACGTTTCTTTTGGCACTTTCAGCCAATACACGATCAATATCTTCATCACTATCTAATAAATTATCCAAATGTTTTTCATACTCTGTTATCCTAAACAAAAGATTTTCTTTTTCAGTCTGTAAATTTGCTAAAGATTCATTCAATAATTCGATATTCTTTTTATGGCTTTCGATTTCATTAATTTTTTCTTGGAATTCAACATCGGTTTTGCCAATTGGCTCAATAACTTCTTGTGGAGTTTGTGCTTTTGGAGTTGTTTGAATTGGTTTGTCTTCAACAGATTTTAGTTTTTCTTCTAATAGTTGATATTTTAGAGTTTCTATCTGTAGCTCTTTTATTGACTGTTTTATTTCTTGTCTGAAAAATAAAAAACATATAACAGTAATATAAAATTATAGGCTTAGTCTCAAGTGAATATGTTTTCTAACTTATTGAAATATTTTATAGAGATTTTATAATATGCGTAACTTAAATCTTTTCTGAATTGTGGTACCTATGTTATCAACTTTTTCTCTCTTATTTCATTTTGGGCGGATATTAAAATAAGGTATATTGTAATAAGGTATAATCTGGTGATAGACCTATTTATGTCAATTTCAAAATTACCTAGAATGAGCCAAATTTTCTCTGAGTTCGTTATTGATCGCCTCCAATCTGTGGATTTCCGCCTGCATTCTCATAGCTGGATGATACCATCCTGCAACATGACGAGCGTCCAGAGCTTGTAATAATTTTTCCAAAGTATCGCTTTTAATTTGGAAACTGCTTTGTTCTGAAGAAAAAAATAAACCAAATATTGAATTCAATAAATTTAAGCAGCAGCTACCTACGAAACACGGAACGCACTCAGGCTCAGCATAGATTCTGATTAGAATCTGATTAGAAATTCTAAGCTTTGATAAATTTTTACAATTCAACCGCTTATCGGAAGGCTATAAGATTTTACTATGCTACTTTAGATTTCGAAATCTATTGTTATACAAAGATTCATCAAAACCCACAAAAAACAATTCAACAAATAATTGCCCAAAAACTAAGCAGTACGATTCCCAACCAATATCTTTCGAACAGTTGTTGAATTTTTTAAATAGATCGAGAAAACGTCAAAAAGAGGTCAGAATTTGGCTCACATACAATACAAACAAACATTAATTTTCCAAATTTGATCTTGGATGGAAGACTAAAAATTTTTATATAGAAGCTTCCATATAAAGAAATTGGAATTTCTTCTTACCATTCTGCTCTTGTATACTTTGAAGAATTTCATGCATTCCTCTTCTAAGAGCTTCATTTTCTTCTATAACTTGTTTGTGGCGCATTTCGTAATCTTGAAAAACATTATTATGCATTCCATCACCTCCACCTTGTTCTTGAAAACTATTAAAAAAATAATTAATAATAAATCAACTATTCTATACACCATACAAAGTCTAAACTCAGTGAACAATAATAGAGAATAGTCAAGAAATATAAATATATATAAAATGTAAATAATTTTAACCATTAAGAAAAAACAATAAATAAATATTTGACTTCCCGTAGGGTAAGTTATTGTAATCGCGAAAAAATCGAAAATGAAAATTTTTATATATCTTTTCGTTTCAAAACCTTCTGATCATTTTGGCAAACCTTAGAAAAAATAGATGTATGTGTGTGTGTGCGTACGGATACAATTTTTGGTCGACGATTTTGGGAACACGTATCAACCTATTTGAATAATTTAAAAAAATGCGTTTTCTTCCAAAAGTTTTTTTTTCAAAAAAATCTATTTTTTCAAAAGTTTAAAATTTCTCAAATATCATTTTTTTAAAAAAAATTAAAAAAAAAAATCTTTTTTTAAAAAAAACTTTTAGTACGGAAAGTTCCAGCAATTTTCCTTAAGGCACAAAGCCATACACCACTAGTTTATTACTTAATTCACTCACTGAACATTTTGTCCCTGGTACTCCTCATAAACTTTTCCTTCAGAGTTTTCTAATTTTTTCTTCAGTTCATCAATTTTAGCATTCAGTTGTACAGATTCAATATTGTATTGAGTTTTATAGTCCTCAAAAATGTCTGCAATTTTTTGCAATTTTTCTATTGTTTTATCCTTTTTCTGGATATCGATGAGAATATTATTCTTAATATTCTCTGACTGCAGTGGAAGACCAAGTTCTTGTCTTAAATAAAAGACATAAAAAATCCATATTTCAATTTAAAGTATTTTTATAATTTTAAGAAGATTTACTAATTAATTTATGATCTAGATTCTGGAAGAAAATCAAACCAGTTTTGTTTGGGGAAGAAGAGAAAAATTGAGTATAAAGATAGTATGAGATTATAATAATTCACCTTAAAGCAATATTTTCTGTTTCTACATCCGAACACTGTTTCTGCAACCGATTTACGTCTCTAACCAATTGCAAAATATGTTTTTCTTCAATTTTTGTTTTTCTTCGATGCAAAGTGTCTTCTACTACTGCATCACTCCATACGACTTCTTCACTCTCGTAATCAGAAGGTTGTCCCAAAGAAATTATCTGAAACAGAACACATATTTTACTTGGAACAATATTCAATATTCAGTATTCCAACATTTTATTAACAAAAATCTTAATGCTCTGAAAATACAATTCTCTACACAGTTATACCCACTGTTTTCTGATATTAGCGATTTAAATTTTTGATTATTTTTTATTTGTTTGACTCACTTCTTGTACTTTCATCAAAGCATCCTCTTCAATATCCAAATCTCCTTTAAGATCAGTTCTGGCCATTTCTCTAACTAATTTTCCATCACTCCTATAGAATTTTTTCTTATCTGTCCCCTTTAGACTATCAATTATTTTTGTACATTTATCCAGCTGATCGGTTACATCATCAAGTTTAGCTTCCAGCAATCCAATTTCTGCATTTTTTTCTTTTAGAACCTATGAATAATATAGTGAAATATAAAAAGTCACGTTTTCAATATTGTTTAAATTAAAAGTCACCTGAGTGAGTTCCAATAAATCTTTAGTCTCTGATTCTGAATGCTTTTCTCCATTTATATCCTAAAATAAAATTGTTTTAGAAAAACATTTAAAAGTCTGTGCAGAATAATATTTGTATAAATCTAAGCTGCGATTTATAAAAAAATTCTTATTGCACAATCTTACTTAATGTAAAGATCGTGCAGAACTGTATAATAGATTTTAAATTTAATTTAGATTAAATAATTCACTAATAATCAAAATCTCCTGAATTACCTTTCCATCTTCTGCAACATCACTCCTAGTAAGGTCCTCACTTTCGTACTCGGTAAATTGACCCAAAATTTGAGTATCCTAATAAAATTAGTAACAAATCTAAAATTTCTATATTAAAGTTACAATATTTACTAATTTTAGCACGTACTTCTTTAACTTTTATCAAGGCATCCTCCTCAATATCCAGGTCTCCTTCAAGATCTGTCCTGGCCATGTCTTTATATTTCTTTTCATCGCCATGTTTTAAATATTTTTTTCTTCCCATTAATTTATCAATTAACTGTTTATTTTTAAAAAGTTCTTCTACGGCTTTTGCTAGTTTCGACTCTAACAATGAGATTTTTATATCACGTTCTTTCAAAATCTATTTAAAAAAATATAATGAATTTTAGAAACATCTGATGGCCAAAGGTCGATACAATTCGATATAAAATTTAAAAAAAAATTATGAAGACACACTGCATAAAAATGATTTTTATATGAGCAATATTGGTAAATGTATATACCAATATAAATATATTTGAACCTTATAAGATTGGTAAATATTATAATTATTACCTATCTTATGAGAATCTTATAAGGTTCCAATATGTTTCTTTAATGTAATAGATTTGACATTTCATATTAATTTTATGAATTTGGATATTTTATTACATTGTACGGATTGCTTATATTAGATAAACGACTTATGTATTTGAAATTGAATTTTTTACCTCGTTATACTGTGAAAAATCTCGACTTCCTATTTCAATAACATAATTTGGATCATAACGTTTTAAATTTTGTTTCAAAATCTCTATTTCTTCTTCTTTGGAATCAATTATTTCCTGGAAAAAGTTAAAATTAATTAGATGAATTGATTATTTTAAAAATATTTATGACTTTCAATCATAATGTAGGCAATACCAAGTTGATATAAAAAAAATATTATATGTTACATACATATCATCTTTATGGACAAGATGAGAAATTCAATATAATTGAGAAATTATAAATAATAAGCCAAAAAGTATATTTAGGTCAACTTAATTTTTACGAAATTTGATTATATAATTTAATTATTTTGATAGAAAATAAATAAAATTTAATCATAATATAGTCAATACCAATAAATGTGAAAAATAGTGATATACTAATGTATGTATTAAAATCATCTTATTTGACAAGATGAGAAATTCAATAAAATTGAGAAATTATAAAAAAAAAACAGTTCATGCAAAATTCAAGACAAAAAGTATTTAAGTCAGCTTAATTTTTACGAATGTTAATATAATTGATTCATTTTGATAAAACAAAATTTAAATTTATTTTACACAATTCAACTTTTGTGCCTGAATAATTAGCATGTTTGTGATTTATCATTTTAGTTAGAGAGTATTTATTTTTAATTAGTGATCGAACGCAACAATTTTTATTTAACAATGTTTTAAATATACCTTCCATTCTTTAACTCGAATATCCAAAGCATCGCTAAAATTATCAATTTGTTCTTCTCTTCTGCGATTAGTTTCCAACAAATCATCAATTTGCAAAGTTAAATTTCTATTAGCTTCATTAAGTTTTAGTATCTCTTCTATAACAAAAAATCAACCAATTAATTATAATCTCAATGTGTGTTAATTTTACAAATTTTATGATACCTTCTTGGTCCCTGCATTTCAGTTTCATGGAGGCAAATTCTGCAGGAAAATTCGAGATTTGATTTTCAGTTTCCTGAAAACCAATAGATCCAATTAGATATAATACATAAATACCACAAATATAAAAATAAAATTCAGAAAAAAAACTTTGTATCAAGTTGTTTGGAAAGCGCTTCTTTTTGTCCGAAATTTAAATGTAGAGAAGCTTATTTTTTCACATCAATAATATTATATTAATTACGTAATATGATAAATCAGGGTATTAGATCCAAATGTTGCATTTTTACCATATTCAGGAAAAATGCTTTTATGTTTCTACATCACAAATGTATACAGAAAAGTCATATTTGCCCACAAAATATTATTCTGAAATTGACAAAAGCAAAATTCTCAATAATTTTGTTATCGTTATTACAACTTTTTTTAATTAGATTCTTATAAATTTCAAGACTAAATTTTCAGCTAAAAATGTAGATTATTGTATTTAGAAATGAAAAAAAATATATGAGATGCATTGGAAAGAATTATATAATATAAAAAATAAAATTTTCTCAAAATCCCACAACTTTAAGGCTTTGTTCAAAATTAGTTAACTTTTCAGAATTCGTGTTTGTGTAAAAGTAAAGTGATAACTTCACAAAAAATGATAAAAAATACTAGTTTTTTATTAACCTCAAGTTTTTCTAAGATCTGTTTGATATATCCATTCTTTTTCTTAAGTTTTTCCTTTAGGTCAGCAATATTGTCCAATTCTGAAGAGGTATCTGTTTCTGAAGAAGTGCTATACCCTTCCTCTTGTACGTCTTTGGCCTTTGAGGTTTCTTTTCTGGTAGACTCATATTTGGCAGAAATTGATTTCAATTTATTTTCTAAATCTAGGTGCTGAAAAAAATTGACATAAATAAATAAAAATTAAAAGACAGCATGAAATAATGTATAAATTTTAAATATAGATAATAAAATGTAAAATCAATAGACATTTTAGTCAAAACTTATTTAAGAAATATTAGGTGTATGTTTGAATTGAATGACTTTTAGAATGATAGAAAAGTATTTGTATAAACGTTTCATCTCTTTAGACCATTGGTTTTATTTTTATCATATTAATATCATTATATCAATTTTAAATATAGTTTATAACATAGTGATTTACATTCACATCATATTACATATCCTGATAAATAATTTGTTATAGAATGATAAAAAGTAGGTCATAAATTTAAGGTCTGAACAATTTGTTGAAAACATAAAAATTCTTCAAATTGTAAATCCTTAATAAAACTAGTATGCAGACAAATTATTTAATCTCATTAATTTTTTTTATATTTACCAAATCGTGTTTATATCTCAAAACTTCCTGTGTGACTCTAAACAAGGACCTCCAAGATTTATTATCCAATTTTGAATTTTCACAATCGAACCAGGAGAGTTGTTCATATAAATAATTCTTTTCATCAATACTGAGCTCTTCCAAATCTTCACTTGTATAGGATAAGACAGTTTTCCAATCAACACCTGACATAACTAATTAAATAATTGAAATTAAACGGAAATAATATGTCATAAGTCAATCAAAATAAAGGTGTGCTTTTGTGTACATTAATTATTTTTTGTTTAGGTTGCAAGAGTCGCCGTTGCTATGGCGACGGGGTAATAAAATTTTACAGTAGAAATATTGAAGGGGTGTTTGTTTATTACATATTATGCTAAAGTAATTAGAAAGAAAATTGAAGTGTTTACACATCCAGTATTAAGGATTTCACAAAGTTTTTTCATCACAGTTTTAAAAGTTGCTAAATCTCAATTCGAACTGATTAAGACCAATTATGTATTATCTGGATTAGTATATACCAAAAAGTTTTTGCAACTTGCCTTAAGACAAAAAATCACTTGCACTTTGTTTCAAATTAATCTTAAATTATTTAAATTCAATTTAATAATTAGCCACTAAACCGTCCATTTTGAATCTGTCATTTGTCAACCGTTACCAACGTTAAGAACAACTACTCCCATCTATCGCGAACTTTGCAGTAATACGATAACCTCAAAGTACCCTTCAAATTTTTTTGCTGTCAAAAATGAATTGTACAATTACTCTTTAAAAAATAATTAACATGAGCTAACCACGTGCCTTATTTTTAGTGTTCAAATATTACATACTACTAAAATCAACTAACATAAAATAGTGTCAAAAATATTATATATAAAATACACTGTGATATTTCAAAATAAAGATGTCTTTGAGTAAATTAACAGCAAGATGTCTATCAAATCATAAGAAAACAAATATTCTGGCCAACAGTGTACGTCAGAGTTCACATTTTGTATATCTTCCTGATGAAAAAGCACCTGTCGAAGGTAAAAATGTAATTGACAAGGTCATACTTCTGAAAATTGTAATGTTGATAGTAACATATTCTCAAAACCAATTTCATACTGACAATGAGTGTGTAAACTTATAAATCTATATTAGGTGTCTTCTCATTCGAATATAATTTCATCAATCGTAGATTTTTCTTCTTCGATATGGTTCTTATGCTTTCTACTTTTAATTCTTCTTAAGACGACAAACTCAAATGTCCTTTAGTTCATGATTTATTTAATTTAGCACAGCATAGTCGCTCTATTTTGCTAATGGCATTTTACTTTAAATACTTTTATTTTACAATTGAAAGTATTTGTAATCAATTTTATTTATTGCAGCATTTATCCTTAGTTACATTAATGACCGTCCTGTTAAAATCTATTTTCCTGTTAGTTTTATTTTGTATAAAATATCTATTATATTGCTTGTTATTTCTAATTGCCCTTGAAAACAAATTTATTTTTCAAACAGCTTTTGTGAGGTCACTGTACTATCAGAAATATAAATTACGAAACAAAATATTGAATGACATACATCTAATTGCAGAACATAATAATGCTATTTTAATTTCTTTTAAAATTGATTAAATATTACTATGCAAAACTTCAGTACACAAATATGAAATAAAGTAATATGAGCCTGTTGGAAAAAAATTGTTCAATAACTACTTTATATTAATATAAGAGCTTTGGCCTTCCATCTAAACTCGCTCATTGTACTATCGTTAATTCAATATTTTGTTTAGTGTTGTATTTATATGAAGTAAATACAATATTTATAGTATAGAATCATCACATGCATTGAAAATAAATGATTATAAAATTATAAATAATTTAATTCAATACCAAACTATCAAATAATATTTTTAGAAGAAAACTTTTTGTAATTTCTATTTTTTTAAATATTTATAATTATTATAAATAACTTTTTAGAGTACCCTTTACAACTATTTACTATTAATTTTATATTACTGCAATATTATAAATTGAATTTATGCTTAGGCCTCCACAGCATTCGCAAGTAATAAATTCTTTCTGTAACCATTATCATAACATTGTTTTAATTGAAATATTATGATACAAAAGATTTGTTAGAGCGTTATTTTATTGTTCTATAAACTCTATGCAATGATTCATTCAATAAAAAATGTATTTTAATTATCAGGACCAACTACAAGACTTAACATGTTCCAAGCAATAAACAATGCATTAGATATTGCTTTACGGACAGATGAATCGGCTTGTGTGTTTGGCGAAGATGTTGCTTTTGGAGGTGTATTTAGATGTACCTTAGATTTACAGGTAATTAATAAAAAAAAGTCTTAAAATAAGACTAAAATCTACATTAATAATAATTTGGCTACGCCTCCATAGACTTTGCAATCCTTAAATCATTATTCGATTGAATCTATTTTTTATCTCTATTTTAGAAAAAGTATGGTAGCAGTCGTGTGTTCAATACACCATTGTGTGAACAAGGTATTGCTGGCTTTGGAATTGGTTTAGCAAATGTTGGAGTTACTGCAATTGCTGAAATCCAATTTGCTGATTACATTTTCCCAGCATTTGATCAGGTAGCTATTTTGTGTTCAAACAAAAACTAATCTTTAGCTACTAATTTACACAGTGATAATTGACAACTGGATATTTTTATATAATGATATCAAATTAATAAAATAACAAAATAAACATTGAAGATTTGATAAAATACTGATGAAATATTTTATCTTTAAATGCATGTTTGTAATAACTTACCAAAATACTTTTATTGTTTTCAGTTAGTAAATGAAGCAGCAAAAATGCGTTATAGAAGTGGAGGTGAATTCAACTGTGGTAGTTTAACAGTGCGAGCACCTTGTATGGCAGTCGGACACGGGGCTTGTTATCATTCCCAAAGCCCTGAGGCATATTTTGCACATACTCCTGGATTGAAGGTCAAGATTATTCATTAATTAAAAATTATATCATCAGTAAAGAATAATTCAATAATATTTTTTTTGTTTATTATAGTTGAAAACAATTATAAGATAAAATAAAGAAATTTGAAGTAAATAAAGTAAAATAAACAAAATTAAATTAAAATTATTAAAAATTAAAGTATTAAAATGAATTTTCAAAAATTACATTAATAATTAAACATTTATTAAAATAAAGAATTTGTCTAATTTATTTCTTAACTAATATTATAATTTTTATAGATTGCCATACCTAGAGGTCCAAACATGGCCAAAGGTCTTTTATTATCCATGGTCAGAGAAAAAGATCCATGTTTGCTCCTGGAACCAAAAACGCTTTACAGAGCAGCTGTGGAAGAAGTTCCTGTCGATGATTTCACAGTTCCTTTGGGGAAAGCTGATATTATCAAGAAAGGTTACTAAAAGTATAAGGAAATAAAAATGATCAGATGTAAATAGAATTTAGTTCTTTAAGGGTATATTTTAGTTTAGTTTATTTTTTTGTGAGTTATTAATTGGTGTTTTAGAAATACAGAAAGATATTGAAAATTAAAGGGTCAAGAAGTCAGTCAGTCATACCCTCGATTTTAGCCTTCCAAATAATCCGAAAAAAAGGAAAAAGATATATTAGTATTCAAGATCGTTTTATGTAGCTATTAAATTATTAAATTTATTTATTAGGTGATGCAGTAACATTGATTGGATGGGGAACTCAAGTACATGTTTTACGAGAAGTAGCTGAGATTGTAAAAGAAAAACTTGATGCTAATTGTGAAGTTATCGATCTTGTTTCGATACTACCATGGGATTATGATACTGTTTGTAATGTGAGTAATAGATATTTATAATTGCAATACTAAGCCTTTTTCTATCACAATTTGTTTATTATTATTTGCCTAATTATATTTGAATTAATATATATTATATTTAATAGTATTTAAAAATAAATGGACAAAATTTTTGCCAGAAATCTTACACTTAAATTATATTAATTAATCACATTTATTTCTTTTCTATATATATATATATATATATATATATATATATATATATATATATATATTTAGAATTACTCTATATCACACCAAAAATCTAATTGAAATTGTTAAAAGAATAACAATTAATTTTGCTTATAAAATTTAATTTACGAGCACTAGTTCCTGTAATAAAAATATAAAAACGTATTAATAATAAAAGTCCAATAAAAATATTTAATATAATAATTATTAAATTTATCTCTGTATTTATATACAGTCAGTAAAGAAGACTGGTCGTTGCATTATTGCACATGAAGCTCCATACACTGGAGGCTTTGGGGCTGAACTGGCTGCTTCCATTCAGGTTATTATAATAAAAATTATTATTCAAATAGAAAATTTTATATTGGCAATACAAATGCTAACTAATCTTATAGTAATTACATGCAAGTTGCATTTAAGTTGCAGTTTAAGCATTTAGATTAAAAATCATCATCTAATACTAAACTTTTAAATTTTATAGCTACAGTTATATTGCAATCAAGTTAAGGATTATATTTACCCTAATTTCAATGACCTTTATTCCAAATTCTAAAAACCTTGATAGTACCAAGTGTTTTTTTAATTTTACAGGAGGAATGCTTTTTGCATCTCGAGGCTCCTATTCAAAGAGTGACCGGCCACGATACACCATTCCCTCATGTCTTTGAACCGTTTTATCTACCCGACAAATGGCGTTGCTTTGATGCTGTTAAGAAAATTTTGCATTATTAAACACTTGATATTTTGCAATTAGAAAATAGTCAAAATAGTGCCTTGGATTTATGCCAGAATTGATATAATTGCATTTAATTGTACATTCCTATATGAAATTAAATTTATTAATTGAATAATGTAATTTTGAAGGTCTCAATTAAGGTCCCAAATGTTTGGAAATTGTTATTTATAATGTAATAGGTATCTACTTTTTGGTAAAACTGTGGAAGGTAGTTATTAGTGATCTGAAACCATTGATATTTTATTTTAGGAAAAATTCTGCAAATATATAGCATTTTAATAATATTATGCATTCAGAGAATGTAGTTATTTATACTGTTTTTATTGTAATAAAAAGTTATCGATTGTTATTTGTGCATTTTAACAATTCTCTTTTGGTTTAGATTAAAATGAAGATCAAGTGAAGAACTAATTTGTTTTTGTAAACCCATCAGTTTTTAGATATTTTTATAAAAATGTGAATAATACTTATGAACATTGTAAAGTTTTGCAGATGTTAGTGTTGTTTTTTTTGTAAGTTTGAGAGAAGAGTTGATGTGAGATTTGGCACATTTAGTTAAGTTGAGTTTTCGTGATATCATAACATTTTTACTTGAACACAAACTTAAAAAAAATTGTAAGCATGAATATATATATATATATATATATATATATATATATATATACTTGTTTTATAACATTTACAAAATATTGCGCAATCAAGTGAGTGTTTACAATCTTATCTCAATATTTAATTATTGATATTTAAATATTAGATATTTAATACTTTCAAATGTTTCTTTCTCCGAAGATAATGTTCGAGTATTAAAAAGAAAAGAAATTATCACGGATAGATTATATTGATAATTTTCAAGGTTAATATGACATTTGAATGATAACAAAACATATGGCAAAGCAAATCCAATGATAAGATGAAGGTTATAGAAAATAGTAGGTGAAATTAAATTGGGCTCCAAAATATTTATTATTATTTAAATACTGCATACTTTGTTTATCCATTTTTATTCTACTATTATGTATTTTATTTTGGAAACTTTATGTTGTAACCAAGGTTTATACCATAGATAAATAAGCATAAAAAGGAAATGGAAAAAAGAAAGTCCAGTAAATGAAATTGCTTACCTATTAAATAATTATTTTTATTAAAGTAAATTGCACAAAATTTAAAAAAAAAACGTACGTCCATTTTTTATTTTACTGCTTAATATATTTTTGACTTTGTTTTGTCTTTTATGTTGGTGACCTATATAAGTTTAAATCATTAGGAAGACAATAAAACGAATTGAATTAATATTAATTATTAATATTAATAGTATATAATAGAAAGTCTTTTATATTCGAGTTTTTGATAATTTTTTATATATCTCAAAATTTTTTCAAATGTTTCTGATTCCATTATTCGGTTTTTTAATGTTGGTTATATTGGTTACTTGTTCATAGGCGTTCGGCGTCCATCTTTAAACAGTTGTTAACGTCAAATTGTATAACGCGTTTTAGAAATAAACAAATTATAATCGAAATTGAGTGTTAAAATTGATACAAAAAGCATGACAAACTATTTCTTTTATTGTATTATGTATATATACATGTAAGCAAATGTAGTCTTTCTATATTACTTAAATTTAGCTTCGAATTTTCATAAAGTGAATTTGTGTAACAGTGTAACAACAAAGGACCGCCATTTTTGTCATTGCCATTAACAGTTTTTATTAATTTTTTTTAGGAAAATGATGCAAAATCGTAGGAGGAAGCAGGAATATTGGTAACTAAATGGAAATGTTGACAGTCATTTATTATTTCTCTAAAAACAGGATGAAGACACTAAACCGTTGGAAGACACTTAACGTCAGGTAAGTCATTTCATGCGAAATTGTATATATATATATATATATATATATATATATATATATAATGAAATTACTTTATTTGTTAAACGGTTGTCTATATTATTAGTTTTATTGAACTTTTTTCATTGTGTTTTTTGCTCTGTAACATAGTGCTCTAATTAGGGGCGTAGTGTGCCTTGGCGGGGCTCTGCCATGTTCATTTTTTTTGCGGGCACCCTTAAGAAGAATAAAGATTTTTCTTAAGAATAATGAATATAAAAAATGCAAAAAAGTAATATTTATTTATCATTCATCTCACTGTGAATTTTTTGAATGTATAACAAATATATATTCCCTCTTCTTGCATTTTTTTAAGTAAGTTTTCACCAAAATTATGACAAAAAAGTTTTTCGTACTTAGTAATATTTAAACAAATAGTATGTTCCCAAATTTGATGGAACGATACACATTGTTATTAGAGTTCACCAAAATCGTGACAAAAATTTAAATATTTATTTAAGGTTGGTAAATGCAATCGTTCTCCAGATATTCGAAGTTGATAGTATGTTCACAAAAACGGATTTGGCGAATTTGATGAAACTTGACACATATTGTTATTATGATTTTTATAAATCACCACAATTGTGAGAAATTTAAAGTTGGCAAATTCAGTTGTTCTCGAGATACTCGAAGTTGAGGGCTTTGCGCTCAATACTATTTGAAATTTAAATATTATTGAAAATTTAAAAATAGTATGTTTTCAAGAACCGCTTTTTTAAATATCCAGTACTTTAGAGTGCTTCTATGACTGTCGCCCGATTTATCCTACTTATAATTATTCAATATTTAGGAAAAAACTACCAAAAAATAAGACAGCACATGAAAATGGACCAATTCCGATTCAAAAAAAGCACCAGAGATATTGAATTATTGATCAATCTTCTAGCATCAAAAAAATTTAATGAATGTGAAAGAAGACATTTGAGCTAGGTTTTATTGATTGACAGAAAGGATTCGACACAATTACCTGAAATACACTTATGATAATAATAAAAAGAAATAAATAGTAGGCTGTCCCAAGACATGCTTATGGTGTGAGGGCACCACAAATCGATTATTCCCTTTGCTCTTCCTTAGGGGGCGTCCATTAATCTCGTAATCGATGTTTTAAGGTTTTTTGGACCTCCCTTCCCCTTGGTAATACGTAGTGATATTCAAAATTAACCTTCACCTCCAAACGTGTATTTTTAGTTTTGAGAAAATGTAGTAAAATTTTTGACTTTTTTGGAAAACGCTAGGATTTTTTCCAAAAATTCTGGTAAAAAGTAAATACACGTGATATCTTGCTATATAACGCAATCTTAACAAAGATTTACTACATGTTTTGTTTTGGAATCTCTGCAGAATATTGATATTGCTCCTCGAACATCAGAAATTGGCTCTCACGTCCCTTTCAAATAAGGCTGGTTTGGTCTTGGTCTTGGTATTTTTTATGTCACAGGAATATTGATATTTTGTTAGTCACATAATATTGCTATTGCTTCTTCTGGCTACAGCCCAATTAGCTCCAGCGTGACATTCTAGTCAGGTTGATTTTGTCTAGGATTTTGCCTTTAATATTGTTTGTCACATGAATATTGATATTAATTATCACAGAATTGTTTTTCTGGATGCTGATTTGGTTTAGTTTTGATATTTTTTCTGTCACAGGAATATTGATATTGATAGTCACAGAATATTGATATTGCTACTTCTGGAACATCAGCGATTAGCTCCAGTGTGACATTCTAGTCAGGCTGATTTTGTCTAGACTTTGATATTTTTTGTCACAAGAATATTGATATAGGTAGACATAGAATATTGATATTGCTTCTTCTGGAACATCAGAGATTAGCTCCAGTGTGACATTCTAGTCAGGCTGATTTTGTCTAGACTTTGATATTTTTGTCACAAGAATATTAATATTGATAGTCACAGAATATTGATATTGCTTCTTCTGGAACATTAGCGATTAGCTCCAGTGTGACATTCTAGTCAGGCTGATTTTGTCTAGACTTTGATATTTTTTGTCACAATAATGTTGATATTGATAGTCATAGAATATTGATATTGCTTCTTTTGGAACATCAGAGATTAACTCCAGTGTGACATTCTAGTCAAGCTGATTTGGCCTGGATTTTGCCATTTATTATTCCTATTACCATTTTATCACCACCGATCACTTTTTAATTATTTTTAAGTATTTTCTTTTCCAAACTTTTTTTATGTTTACTGGTCTTTTCTCTCCTGTATTTGCATACTTTTCCCAATCCTTTTGGTCCTTCTATCTAACCTTTGACGACGACTTGTAGAAGGCACTTTTTTGTGCAATAGGCCCGATCCACTTTCATTTCTTTTTAATGATCATGCTCAGTTATTCACCCAGTTTTCTCAGTAATTCTTCACTTTTCCACTTTTTTTTATTTGCCTCTAGCACCTCATCATGATTATAATCCATTACCTTATGAGGATATTGAAGATCTTTGTCATCGACTTGAAAGATTACTAGCTGATCCTGAAATTGTACGTAAGATAGTGTAAAATGGTAGACACAGGACACGAAAGCCCAGAAATCGATATTAGGGAAAAAAAAGTAAAAGTTGCCTGCATTGCCATATTTTTACCATGAGAAAAATCAGGGTGCCACGGATCTGGTGCTGTTACATATTATATATGTTTGTTTTGCAGTTTGCAAGAGCTATATAGAGGTGCACACAGAATAGCGTTTCCAAATTCAAGTGCATGCATGCGTTGCAATATCTCACCATTATGAAACACGAGTGGCGCATAACCACGCTCTGAAAACATGCACACGATGGGAATAAATTTCTTTGAACTGTTTGAGTTTACAAATACACTTTTGTCTCTGTAAATGGAATAGTTTGAATCAAAGTTCAAGAATCAAGAATTTTTGAAAAGTCGTTTTTGAAGACCATGATGATCCTCCTTTATTAACTTCCCGTAGGGTAAGTTATAGTAATCGCAAAAAAATCGAAAATCAAAATTTTTATATATCTTTACGTTTCAGAGGTTTCTGAATATTTTGGCATACCTTAGAAAAAATGGATGTATGTGTGTGCGTGTGTATGTGTGTTCGGATACAAATTTTCGTCGACGATTTCGGGAACACTGATGAAGCGATTTGAATAATTCAAAAAACATTCGATTCGTATTGATAAGGAGACGTGCTGAATGATAGCGGTTTCGGAGATCTAGTAAAAAAAGTAAAAAAACGCCATCTGGCGGTCAAAAATGCTCATTAGACATATGCACATCAAATTATCAGATATTTTATAGATTTTTTAACAATAAGTATAAATTTTGTTTGCATTCCTATGGGTTCTGCACCAATGCTTATCCGTTAGACCGCGGCGCTTACGCGCATCGATATTTCGTCTCTATGCTGTTAAAGTAGTACGATTGCTTTGAAAAAAAGTTCAGAATTTTCAAAATATTTCAAAATACACTTTTCTTCAAAAAGTCTT